AGTAACAGATTATGAAAAGCTGCTTCTGGAGTGGCCTGTGTTAAAAGCCAGGCTGGTTAAACAAGGTGGCTGAAAAGCAGTCAGAGTCTACTGGACTCACCCTGCCAAAGGACCAAGGCCATATGTATACAGATGAGATAGTCTGGGGGTGAGGATTGAATTTGAATTTTAAAAAAGTTACGTGGTAATCAGATTATACTATGCATAGTGAATGTTTCTACCACCTACTGTTGTAAAATATACCTACATGTGTGATGTAGGAAAAACATGTATACCACACTTCACCCCTCCCGCCCCCCGTATCCAACACACACAAAGAAAGACTTTTTGAATTTCCAGCAAGTGTTCACCATCGGATGTACTGAGGCAAGAAAAGTGTGTGCCCGTTAGAAAAGTCCCCTTCTAGGACCAAAAGTTAAAGGGCGCTGACAAGCAGACAGCTGGTATGCTTGCTGTGGTGACCTACTAACCTGGGTCCACTTGATGAGTGGAAGTAGGGTAGACAGCAATGAAGAGACTGAATTTGGACATGTTCTGTTCATATCTGCTGACATAGCCCATGAGGATGAGAGAGGATAAAGGGTTGGCTGTTCTGAAGTGTAGCGTATTATATGGACTTCTTAGTATATACATGCACTGATCTAGCTCAGTGGATTGATTAGAGAGAGGGAAAGAGAAAAAGAGAGAGAAGGGTAAGTATAGAGTGTGTGAGGACTCCAAAGCTTGTAGCTGGCACTCATTTGACCTAGCTTGGGTGACTAGATCTGAGCTGACTAGAATCCAACCAAATGAAAAGATATTTGCTATTATGAGCTGGTAGAAATGTCTGCATTTTGATGGCTTGCTCTGGTCTGGACTTTGCTTATGGATGCAGATAAAGTTCCAACCAGAACAGAAGATTCTTCATATCAAGGAACATGCTTAACTACTCAAGAGTTGTGGTTCGATAGGGATGAACAATACACTGAGTATCTACAACAGGGCTGTGAATGGGAGATAAAAGCATGAAGTGGCTGACTTACACACTTTCATGGGTGTGCATACTCTCACAATGAGGGGAGACAAGAGAGAATCCTCACTGAATAGTTTCTTCTTTTCCTGATGGACTTGGAGGAGAGAGGGTGGGGGAAGATGGTGATAGGTTTATGAGCTTTAGTTGTGTTGATTAACAGCGTGATTGTAGAGATGTAACTGAAAGAGAAGGCGGATGTTAGTCATTCATATATGAAAGGGACAATGGCTAGACTGTGCTGCAGTGAGTGACTTGATTTTGTTCTTTTAGCCTTAAGACTCTGTAACTCTGAATCCTGTTCTGATTCAAAGTGACTCTGTATTGGGCTTCCAAGGAGCAACTGCTGGGTTTGAACTGTCAACCTTGTGGTTAGTAGTCATGATTATCCTACAGTGCCACCCCAGGACTCCAAATATGACTGGGTAAGGCTATGTAAATGTGAGGTGTTTGTGGCCCACCAAGGGGGTTGGATAGCTTGCTAATAGTGCGGATAAGATACATGGCACCCATGTGGGGTGGTGGTAGTGTTAAGTGCTGTTGAATCGGTTCTGACTCCCAGGAATGACTGGTGAGTTTGAACCACCAACCTTGTGGTTCAAACTTATCTTGCAGTCCTGTGCTTATCCAACACCACACCAGAAGTCTAAGTGGGGTATAAATGTAATGCAGGAACTGGTCAGTTTTGCTATCCTGCTGGGTTTAAAATGAGTTATCACAGAAGAGGATGGGGGGGGGGAGTCTCATTACTACAAAGAAAGAAGATCCAGGAGTAGAGCATGTTCTTTGGACTCTGAGATTGCTGAAGTGAACCTCCTAAATGCAGGAGATAGAGCTGAGACCAGAAACACATGGCAGCAGCAGAGGCAATGGAACCAAGATCATGAGACAGAGCAGTGAGCTTCCCGGCCCATGGAGCATGAACGTTGAGTGTCTTTAGGCCACAGCTTACTGGTCCAGCTGGTGCTTAATTGCAGAGATACACTTGCTCAACAGAGCAGAGGCCAAGGGGCCACAAGGCTGAGAGGCCAAGAGGTAAAAGAGCTTTTTAACACTTGCTCAAACAGGTCATGAGGACAACGGCCTGGGCATGCCTGGAGGAGGTTGTCCTGACTGAAGAACTGTATCCTGGGTATTTCTGAATTGTAAATAATGATTTCCCTAGTAAACCCCATAATCATGAGGTTGGCCTCTGAGTTCTGTGGCCAATGCAAAGGATTATCAAACCCAGCAGAAAAGTAGAGAGTGTCAAGGTTGGTGTCAGAATTGGTATATAGGTTGGAGGGAGGGTGGAGGCATGTCTGATCTCTGCCTCATAGGAATTGGACGTGGGCTGAAGTTGATTTTGATTCTTTCTCCCTCTTGTGAGGAGTCATGGTGCGGCACTAAGGTAAGCACTTGACTGGTAACCACAAAGTCAGCAGTTCACATTCACCAGCTGCCACTCCTTGGAAACACTATACAGACAGGGTCACTATGAGTCAGAACCAATTCAAAAGCACTTAACAACAACTACCCCTTGTGAATTCAAGAGGTTAGATGGATTTCCTGCTTCCCCCCTGTTCCTGAAGTCACTTTTGGCTTATTGCTGTTGTTGTTAAGCACCATCGAGTTGGTTCTGACCCATAGCAACCCTACTTAGGGTTTCTAAGGAGTAGCTGGTGAGCTTGAACTGCCGACCTTGAAGTTCAAATTTTGCAGTCCAGAGCATTAACTCACAGCGCCACATAGGAGTTTAAACCATTAGCAGCTTCAGGAAAAGGTGCTAAATATGTGTAAAACTTGAATTCATTTCCTAGTTATATGCTTGTCTGAAGTGCTTGCTCATTGCTGTTCAGAATGGGACTATGTACACCGGGGAGATCAGGGGTTGTGCTGGGGTTATGGTGGGAGTCTGCCTGAGGTTGAACAGAAAACAGTATAGACTATAAAACCTGGTGGACCATGGTCACAATACCGCCAAAGTCACAGGACTTCCTTTAATTAGAGACAATTAAAACAAGTTTTTTTTTTTTTTTTTTTAAATACAGCCATTGAAAAGACAACACATTAAGAAACATGTAAACACTGCAGCTGCTTAGTTACAAGTTGCACTGCTTGGTTTAGTACCTGTGCACTCCCAAGTATGGGGACCTTTAAAGAAGGAGGGGACCAGAGCCTCCCCTCCCTTTCACAGTTGGACAGAGAAGTAGGAAATGGGGGTTGAGTAAGAACAGAAGACTTGGCTGTGCACAGCTCCCAGGAGACTGAAAGCAGAGTCTATCTTCCAATTCTCCCAGGAGAAAAGTTGAAGTGTTAGGAAAGTTGGAAAAACAATTTGTGTTACTAGTTGGAGCAGAGGGATTGACAGATGCTTTCCAGTTAGAAAACCAACCATTAACAGGAGGAAAGCCAGAGCCTAATCTCATGTTCTGAAAAAGGCAAGGAATACTGACCCTGCCTCCCTCATATGCATAAACCCCAACCTTGATAATCCAAGGGCAGCTGGATGGGTGATCCTCTTCCCATGGGGATTGTATGTCGCACCTGAACTCAGGGACCAGCACAGGGGAAACAGCCTGCCGTTCTTTGGTTCTGCTGCCCTCAGTCAACCTCAGTTATCATCCCAAATACTTTTCTTTCCAGTATCAGCTTTGCTTCATGAGCCCTGCCCTGCCAAAGGCTCAAGGCTGAACTTATTTCTCATGAAATGATGAGTCCTCCATTTTCCACCTTAACTGAAAGATGACTTGGAACCAAACCCGCTATTTTTCAAATTAGACAACTTAACCCACCAAATACTGTACTTACTGGCCAAAGGCATCTGCTTGGTCTTTCTATAAGGGAAGGAAGGCTAACAGAAGAGAAATTCCTGGTCATTTCTAGATGAGACAGTAAAGGAAAACCAACACTTAAAACAACAGGCCTGAGGCACAGGGTAACTGAGGGAAAATGGTCCTCTTTTCTAGCATTACTTGGGCTTTTGTATATGTTTCTTTAAAAAATACCAATGTTCTAAATTCTGGTCAGTCAGTGAAGATGAAGACATAATTTGGCAAGCAGAATTACTCTGAAATTGTGGTAGCAGAGTCATGCTGAGGCCTTCTCCTCCTCCCATTAGCTTGTAGGAAGAGGGGTAAAGGGCTTGAAACAATAGTGGGAACAAAATTTTCAAGTGTTTGAAACCATACCTCAATGCCCAGAAACTAAATGGAAAGCAAGAAGTGATGAGGATCCAAACTTTGGAAGCAAAGGAATCCTGGCTCCTCCCCTATCTCTCTTCCTCAAGGAAACAGTTGTTGGGGCACTTAGACTAATGCCCTAAACCCATCCAGGCCCCAGGGTTGAAAGACTGGAACTCTGTGCTAAAGGCAATGTCACCAGGCATTTATGTTTCCTCCCAGTGGGTGTGCTCCAGCTTCTTGCTTTAACTCTGTGACCATCTACATCTACACTGACTCTTGGGTTGTCTCACAGGGGAAGGGACAGTCTTCCAAAGGCCCTTCCACAGGCTTCTGTCCTAAGATGTTGCTGATAAGAACCCAGCAAAGATGGAAGATGATGTCTGGGTCTGTGCGTTGAATGAAAGGCTAGAAAGGAGGTGACTTGTGGGGACTTCAAAGCACCACATCCAAGACTTCCAAGGAGGCAGCCTCCTGATCTTCAGTCTCCCCTACTGTTATGGATAGGGTAGGCCACCTCAAGGACAGCAGAGGGAGTGTAAGAAGTGACTGCCTGGAGGCCCTTTTGGCAGCTTGAATCTCAGGGACATGCTCAGGGATCCTGTGTCAGGAAAACAGAAGGACAGCAACAAAGGTGCCTACTCTCTGTTCTCCTGTCAGATGTGAGGGGGCCCTGCAAGATGGCATCTTCCTAAGGAGAGCCCGCTTTCAGGATGCTGCCCTGCCCTCTCCCCACCTCAGCTGCAGAGACTCCCAAGGTTCTTCAGAAAACCTCAATTCCTTAGGTTCTTCCCAACTAAGCCCCTTAGGTTCATTAGAGAAAAAAATGTAAAAACATGATTTTTTTCGATTGCAAGTAACACATCAGCTGAGCAGCACACCCTCCTTCCCCACCCTCTACCCGCTGGTATTTGGTAGATGGGGATGCTGGAGTAGAGGCCCAGCTGCACTTGGCCCTGGGGCCTCACTGCCTGCTGTTGTTGTCACACAGCTGGCTGGGGGTCCGCACTTCACCCAGGGAGGCTGTGCCCTCGAAGCGTTGTGACGCGATGGCTGCCTGGTGAGACATGCTCTTCCGCACAATGTCACCCTTCCGCCACAACACCACTTCCTGCAGAATTGGGAGGGATGGGTAACACAACACTGTAAGAGAAGTCGGGGGCTAGGGGAGAAGGGTTTCTCAGATGCCCATAACTTTCTCCAGGGGAATCTTAGGCAACAACCTCTGCTTCTTTCTCACAAAGGACAACTTGTACCTTTCTGACCTGGTGCTCCTGATGGTCGAGCAGAAAGGGTGGGGCAACTGCTGGCTTAGGCCCAAGAAACAGAGTAGGTATCAGGAGGGAACTCTTGTTCTTTCTATGGGTATCTGGGGGGCCTGACATTCACAGTCCATGGCAAAATAACAAGTGCCACAGAAGCCTACAAGCTCGCTCCCAATATTGTCCTGTGGGGTCTTTCAGCCACAGGAAGGATGCTCTTCCTGGTGTTTTCTAGGGTATACAGGGCCTGAGGTGTCCCAGCCTCACCTGCTGTTTGAAGTAGCGCCGTTCTTCCTCATCAATCAGCACCAAGTTGAGGTAATAGCGCACTGAGAATTTTTTGTTGATGTCCCGCATGGTGGGGGTGAGCTCGTAACCTGCCAAGAAGAGCCGGATTGGGATGGACTCGCCTGTCAGGACAAAGCAAGAGTTAGAGCAGGGCAGAGGGGCCCCCTCAACCTTATGCCAAGGTGCTTTCTGAATGCAGCAAGGAGTGCCCACTGAGCATAGCACAGGAAACTATAGCAAACGTTTCTGCTGCCCAGTGGTTGCTGAAGCAGAAATGTGATTTTCCAATGCCACTCCAGTTATTACTGGCTCTTTCTAAATGTCCTTTTACCATTCCAACACACAGACTAATAAATATGAGTAATGGCAAAAACACAGAGATTGTTGAGCATTTTTTAATTACATGCAATGTGTCTAGTTACTGGGTTTTCAAGAGGCAATTGTCAAAACCCAGCTTATACCATGTCGACTTGCAATTTCACTGCCGATCCTCTACCTCTAATTAGCATGTTGTTCTTGTCATGTGTCATCAAGTTAGTTCTGACTCAAAGCAACCCTGTATAGGGTTTCCGAGGAGCGGCTGGTGAATTTGAACTGGCGACCTTGTGATTCAAACCAACCTTGCTGCCTAGTGCATTATTCCATAGTTCCACACCAAGATTCCTAATTAGCATAGTCCCCGTACCCCCAATACAATGGATTGGTATGGTGGTACAGTGGTCTGGAAAGCAGAAAATCCTTTGTGGCCCCAGTTATTCACTAACCTGTTACATGACTTTTGAATAAACCTGCTCTTTTCTCTGGATCTTAATTTTCTCATTTGGAAAGCTGTGGAATTAGACTGTAAAATAGTTTAGGTTCCTTCCAGATCTAACATTGTGCCCTTCCTACTATCAGAGGAACACAAGTAGGCCAGTAATTCCACTGAGAAGGCCAAACCTTCTAAGTATTCAAAAGCTAAATATAAATGATTTTTAAATGATCAGTTATCACTGTCCCATTTAATTTCTACAGAAAAAATGACAGTTGACTATATTTGCACAGCTCAGTTCCAGCGCCCCAGTTTCTCCAGTGTTGCAAGCTGCTCAAACTATGAAACATGCCTCCTTCCACATGAGACAGACTGAGAATAAAGGGAACAGAACGTTGGAAGGAGCAAGCACTCCAAAATGAAGAGAGATATTCTTCTTCATCTGTTGCTGCAGACCCAATGGAGAACAAATGTTTGCTACTCACACATAACACATAGTTTTCACCTCTACTTGTCTCGGCTATAATGTTAGCTCCATTAGGGGAGGGAACTGTTTCTAAGTCCTGAGGTTCTTTTCAGTACCTAGTATACAGAGTATACAGTAGTGGGCATTTGAACTTAAAGAGAATGAATTGTTTTATCAGAGCTTATTATTACCTGACAAAAACGAAGCTGAAACATTAATTTCTGGGTCTGCAAAGAATATCAGAATGTTAAAAGGGGAAAAAATAGCAAAATGCTCAAACTGTCTGCTAAAGCAGTACTTTGCAATCATCAAAATGTTTTTAAATAGGCATAAGTCTTGAAGTAAAATCTCTGTTCAAAGAGAGCTGTTCTGGTGGAGATAGGTCAGGCCCTGACACTCCAAAGACTCAGCCTTTCCTCCACTCCATTTTCTTCTGCACTGGGATCCACAATGCACCAGTAAAGAATTACAGGCTAACACTTTAACACTATCATTCCCCAGGTCCCTCCAAAGTTCTGTGAAAGACTTGGGTGAACAGGAGTGGGGAATAGGCTTTCTACTCAGCAGTGGAGCCAGGAGCTCACCTCTCACAGGTGCCCCATCCATGATCTCATACTTGGCGATGGTGTCATTCTCATGGTAAACATTGGGGCCCGTCCCAGTGGTCTCCCGCTTGATGATGTCAATCTCCATGTGCTTGATCTTGATTCGCACAAGTAGGAAGTATATCTTCCCCACAATGACATCTTTCAAGTGGTATCTGGGAAAGAAAAAGTAAAGAAACCAAAAGGTTTGTTCAGGGGATGATTCTCAGCACCTACATGCTGTTTTGGTTTTAGTAGTGTATTGCCATGTGTGTTGTCTAAAGTTGCAGTACAAACCCACCCACCTTTCTGCTAGCATTGTTGTGTTTGTTAGCAGGGATTTCCCAACATATTCTTTTTTTCCCCCCAAGTAGATTCTTTGTTGTTGTTTTTGTTAAGTGCTGTTGAGTTCATTCTGACTCACAGCAACCCTATATAGGGTTTAAGAGGCTTTAAATCTTCGAGAGAGCAGAAAGCCTCATCTTTCTCCAGAATATATTCTTTACCTGATTCAAATTAACTTCTCTTCTCTATCCTTCCATCCTTTCCAACTTTTCCCTGAAACTGACTTTCCCTTCAGGAGGGCTCATGTTTAGTCATGTAATCTGCCTTCTCAAGAGGTTATTGCCTTTTATATTTGTGCTTGTTTTTTTACATATTCCTCTATACTGAGAGACTAGGTTCCTTTCTTCTCTAATCTCCACAGAATGTCTTTTAGGACCTAGATGACTTGCAGCAGACGTGACCTGTTTACTTGAGCCTAAAGAAGCACAGGCAAGGGCAATAAGTAAATCAAAGGTAAATGAGTTACACTATCCATCACTGTTTGCTCTCTGAGCTCTGCTCAGTAATGCTTCTGTCCTGTGAGGAATTCAGTCATGTTGCATAACCTTTTCTGATGCTTTGAAATTTTATCTTTGGGTCAGCCAGTAAGATTGACAGTCTACATAGGTTAATGCGCTGGACTGCAAGGTCAGTTTGAAATGCAAGGATGGCTGTTCGAGCTCACCAACCACTCCCTGGGAACCCTATACAGAGTTGCTGTGGGTTGGAACCAACTCGACAGCAATTACCAACAACAAGAAACAACACACGCGGTAGAAAAATAACAGAATCTTTAAGCCTGAAGCCTGCAATCACAGGACATGAATATTGGCAGGGACTTTAGAATTTAACTTCCTTATACCAGACATGAAGAAAAGGCAGTTTAAAAGAATAAATAATGTGAAACAGGACTTGAAAAGTGAGCCCAGGTTTCTAATTCCCAGGACTGTGGTTTCCCACTTTTTAAACCACCTTCTGTTTATAATCTAATTGGGAATCCAACAATCTAACTGTAGATATGGAGTAAATGACTTAAGAGCATATATTAAAGCAACTTCTCCACAAGAGAAAGGTGAGGCAGTTTCCTTCTGTAAGATGTACAGTCTTGGAAACCCTATGGGGCAGTTCTATCTCGTCCTATGATCGGATCACTATGAGTTGGAATTGACTTTACGATTAGGTTCAATTCTTGGTTAGGATACTTACAGCATTTCGGAAGAAATGCTTAAGAGATTATAGACCCTGGGTGTCTTCAAACTTAAATAAGTTAAACTTTGCTTCATTGTTGTTGTTAAGTGTCATGGAGTCAGTTCTGACTCATAGCAACCCTGTATAGGGTTTCCAAGGAGAAGCTGGTGAACCGCTGACATTGCAGTGCAGTGCATTTGCTTTACTTTAATGAAATCTTAACAAAAGCATAAACATATACACCATAGATAAAAGAGCTGCTCTCTCATTCTCGCCCTGCTCTCCTTCACACTTTCTGTTGTTTCTCCTGTGTTTTGAGCTCATAAACCTGGCCCAAGCCCTTCAATATTCAGATGAGAAATTCAAAGTATGAAAAATATTAGTGCCTTCTAAACTTAACTCAACCCTTTAGTGATAGAATGAGGCAATAACTCTAGTCCTGTGCTCTTCCTATTCCATCACAGAAATCCCTTTCACTCTGTGTAGTCTGTTCTTCCAGGGCAGGACCAGAGTCTGAAAGTACGCAGTCCCTGACTTGCACAGAATGAGCTTGTTTGTACGTTACATAGAGACACTTAGGTGGCTTTTAGGAACCATGGTAACCCAAAGGTTTAAGCTCTCCACTGCTAAATGAAAGGTCAGGGGTTCAAACCTAAAATGAACTGGTGATCTGCTCCCATATAATGACAGCCTAACAAAGCCTGTGGGTCAGTTCTGTCCTATCTCCTAGGGTCACTGTGAGTTGGAATTGACTCAGTGGCACACAACTAAGTACCTTTTACTTACCAAATGTGATATTCTTTACATTGTTATTGTTGTGTGCCATCGAGTTGGTTCCGATTCACAGTGACCCTTTATAGGGTTCCATGAAATGGCTGGTAGGTTTGAACTGCTAACTTTGTAGCTGAGAAAAGCAGTGGAGGGACCCAGTGGTGGGGGTGGAGGTGGGGAGTGGGGTTCTGGGTTATAGCAGACATTTTATTGGGGTCTCACTTGGCTTTAGGTCAGGTGGCAGGGGAAAGAATACACTTTTCCTACACGTCTAAGTATGTTCCTTGTTTATAAGAAATTTGTTCCCAGTGACTTCAAAGGGTAACTATCTGCCTCAACTTCCACCACCTGGAGTTTTGTGGCTCAATTTCCACTTCCTGCATGCTGGGTTTGAAGTGGTACCGTAAGCGTAGCACAGACTCTAGTTACAAAAGTGTGTGTGTGTTTTTATAGCTCCCTGAGATCAGAAAGCCCCTTTCACTTGAGAATATTTGATTTTTTATATTTCTAGTAATGCATTATATTCAAAAGGAGTCCTGGTGGTACAGTCTTTAAGTGATCAGCTGCTAAGTGAAAGGTTGACAGTTTGAACATACTAGTCACTCTTCAGGAGGAAGAGGTGGCAGTGCGCTTTGGTAAAGATTTACAGCCTTGAAAACTGTATGGGGCAGTTCTACTCTGTCAGACAGGACTGCTATACAATGCCATCGAGTCAGAACTGACTTAATGGTATTGGGTTTTGGTTTGGTATTAAATTTAAAAGAACGATGCAGTTAAAAATATTTTAAATATTCTAATCAGTAGTGTAGTGGTTACGAATTGGGCTGCGAACCTTAAGGTCAGTGGTTCGAAACTCCCAGCTGCTCCGCGGGAGAAAATGAGGCTTTCTACTCCTGTAAAGATTTACACCCTCGGAAACCCTGTACAGGGTCGCTGTGGGTCGCAACCGACTCGACGGCACTTAACAACAACAACAACAACAATATAGAACATAATTTAAAAACATACAGGGCTTCCCAGCTTGCTGGTTAAAATACCGTTCTTTTAAGACTTGTTACAAAACATCAGGTGATCCTAGCAACAACTCATTTTAGTGCAAGGAAGGAGCAACAGGCCACAGCCGGCGTCTGGTTTCGTCAGTTTGTTTAAAGACATAGTGTACGTAGGAAACAGATGATAAGCAACAGGACTGGTATCTGACATTATTCTCATCAACAGAAGGAAATAGCTGCACCTAGAATCCATAACAAATGCCCTTTCCACGTTTAGCTTACTTGGAAAGATATGATACAATGTTTACCTTCTTTATCTAACATTGCTAAATTTAACTAAAATGTTTTTATTTCCTGATCAATCTATCTGTAGCCAGCCTTGCACACATACTTACCACGATTTCTGTGGTCTACCCACTACATGCCACTTTGAGTTAGCCTGGTTATGGGCCTTCATCAATTTGTACTCTCAGTTTTAGTTTAAACTCCCTACATAATTATCCCACACTCTGGGGCCCAGGACACTTACTTGGATTTATTGTATTCAAATTCAATGTGTAGGCAGTCCTCAATCCCAACTTCCATCTTGATGGAGGAGTTCAGTTCCGGATATGTGCTGAGTGTGTGAACGACAATGTCCATCTCCTTGACTACATCATTGAGGCGGCGGCTGATGGTGGCTCGAAGGAAATACCTGTAGGAGGCCAACCACCATGAATGATGCTGCCCAGGTATATACACAAAAATGGGGCTTCGAGTCTGGTATCCTTTTGAGAACTTACCTCTATGGGTCCAGTTCCCAGAAGAAAGGCACACATGCACTTATACAGAGAATTTTGTGATTATAATTCCAAGTTAATTCAAAGACTATTTCCCCAAATTCCTTATTGGAGCCTCTGACTCTGGGTTAAGAACCTTGCTCTATGAGACTGATACCTTGGCTCTGTACTTCAAAGCATGTCATTCATATGTCTTCCAGGGCACTTATAGGTTTGATTATGTGTTTAAGTACAGGTTTTTTTCTAACCAACTCCTAGGTCTTTGGGTGCAGAGATCTGTTGTGTTCTCAGATTTGTATACCTATTTATTTTTAAATTATATAATCAAAAAGCACTTTAAAAGCCCCTTAACTTTTAACTAAAAGAGATGTACTGTGCTAGGCATAAGATGAAAAAGATGTAGTCTCTTGGGAAGCTCACAGAGCATTAAAGGAGATGAGTAAATAAACAGAAAAAAAAAAAGAACACATGGAGAGTGCTAATTGAGATAAAGAAATCAAGTGATGAAGGTAGGGAGAAAAAGGTATTTCTGGAAAAGCAACAGAGATATGAAAGGACCTGTCTTGCTCGAGTAACAAAATCTGGCAGAATCTAGGGTACGTGGGGAGGAGGCTGCTGTGGTTGCAGACAAGCTAATAGGAGACACCCATGGTCCTTGAAGGTTTTGTATGCTAACACTAGTCTCTATGGCCAGCCATTTTATTGTTGCCTCCTCAGGATCTCCGTCTCTGAGAACTAACTGGATGCAAATGCCAAACCAGGGAGAAAGCACCTCATTAATTACTTTTCTTCTAAATGACACCTGGTTAATCCCCACACACATCAAACATTACAGGAGAGTTATAAAAACAAGCTACTCAATCACCTGCAAGGTTAGGCTCTCACACTATGCCCTGGGGGTGCTAACTGCTCCTGAATAATCCTTTTATTTATCTTCCCAATGTCCCTGTCACACCTCTTCCAAGTCCTTTTTCTCAGTGCTCAGTCTTTTAAGCCTGCCCTTTCTCTCTTGGTGGAAGACCTTGGTATATACCAAGGAGATGCAAGCCATTCCAGTCATGATGCATGTGACCTTCCTTCTTTGTGGGCACACCTAGAGCCTACAAATGTCTGTATCCTCACTTACCTTTCCTTCTTCTAACAGTACTTCTCTTTTTTCAAGAACATTAGAAACACCTGGGGGCTTAAAAACCCATAAAAAACCCTGGTACCCAAGCACACTTGACATTTAATTGTCTAGAGAAGTGCTCAGGAATGATTTTTTTTTTTTTTTTTTTACATTTCCTAAGTGATTTTATGGTACAAGCCTTGTTGAAAATCAGTTTTCTACACCTTGAGCTTCAAAAATTCCCAAGTTTATCTACATACTTAATCTCCTGCTAAAGATTTCTTCTTTTGGGCTTATAAAAGGTCAAGAACTCACAACCTCCCAAATACTCTTGGGACCACTGCACTCTGGGGCTATCATACTTTCTCAGTTTTCTTTCAGAGACAGCTGTCTCAAGAGATTATCTTCTAACTGCTTCATCGTTCTCATTATTGCTATTTATTCTTGACCCCTGACTTCTGATCCCCACCCAACAGAAACTGCTCCCTAATACATGGCCTCCTAGCAACCAAGCCCGTATTAGCTTTTTCCTTGGTGCTTATTCTGTATTAGACACAAAACCCTTCCTTCCTCTTCAAAGCATCTACCCCTCACTCCCCCAAGAGGATAGTACCCCGATTCTGTTCCTCCACCTCCCGCCTACTTTGGGGAACCAGTAGGTCCTGGCACTTCTCTCCCTGGTTCTCCCTAATTCTCAAAATCTTTTGGACAGGCACATTATCTAAGTGTCCCCTTGGGCCAGAGCTCCAGGCAGGCTTATGTTTAAACTATCTGATAAATTTCTCACCTCTGTATTTTGCCAGTGTTTCAAATTCACTTCTAGAACTGGATAGGTCATCTCATCTACAAATCATCTCTTCCTCTTGACAGCCCTCAGTATTCATCTCCACTACCTCAAACCTGGTAGCGTAGTGGTTACGAATCGGGCTGCGAACCTTAAGGTCAGCGGTTCGAAACTACCAGCCGCTCCGCGGGAGAAAGATGAGGCTTTCTACTCCCGTAAAGATTTACACCCTCGGAAACCCTATACAGGGTCGCTATGGGTCGGAACCGACTCGATGGCACACAACAACAACAACAACAACCTCAAACCTTCAGTCAGCAGAGATTACTAATTTTCTCACTTTCTGCTTACTCCTGTTGTATTCAACAAAGTAAGCCCCTTAAGGCTTCATAATAGCATTCTAAATTGTCTCCCATCCCCAACTGCTACAAATAGACTCTAAATTAATCTTCCAAAAGAACTACCCTGCCTAAAAACAAAGGGAAAAAAAATCCCACACCATTTTCTCATTCTGCTAAGAGATAAAATACAAACACTTAATCTGGAATTTACATTCTCTAAATTTACTGATGTGGCAATGTAGGTTAATGCACTACTCTGCAAGGTTGGTCTGAACCACAAAGTCGTTAGTTCAAGCTCACCAGCCACTCATAAGAAACTCCATGCAGGGTCATTATGAGTTGGAATGACTCCACAGCACTAAAAACAACAAACTGAGTCCATGTCTTTTTGGAGTTATGGTGTAGTACTGTGGGTTGAACCACTGACCTTGCAGTTGAAACTGCAAAGTTATTTTCAACTGCAAGGTCAGTGGTTCAAGCTTACTAGCCACTCCTTGGAAACCCTATACAGGGTTGCTATGGGTCAGAACCGACTCAAAAGTACTTAACAAAAAACATTTTTCTGAGAGTCCTGGTATGGCGGTGTAGAATAAGCACTAGTTTGGAAATCGCAATGTTGGTAGTTCACATACACCAGTCACTCTTGTAAACTCTATACAGGGTCGCTGTGAGTTGGAACCAACTCAATGGCATACAACAACAAACTTCCTTAACTAATTTTCTGTTCTTTACTTCCTTCTCTCAATATGAATCTTAAGTTGTGGCTGTTAAGTGCCATCAAGTCGGTTCCGACTCATAACAACCCAGTATAGGGTTTCTAAGGAGCTCTAGGTAGCGCAGTGGTTATGAATCAGGCTGATAATCTCAAGGTCAGCAGTTCAAACTACCATCTGTTCTGTAGGAGCAAGATGAGGCTTTCTGCTCCCATGAAGATTTACAGCCTCAGAAACCCTATGCAGGGTTGCTATGAGTGAGAAGCAACTCCATGGCACATAACCACCATCAACCACAGGGTTTCTGGGGTGTGGCTGTGGGCTTTAATCACTGACCTTTGGTTAGCAGTCCAGTGCTTATCTTACAGCTCCAAACCAGGACTCCTATTATTAAGTACCATCAAGCTGGTTCCAAGTCATATCGACCCTCCATAGGGTTTCAGAGGAGCAGCTGATGGGTTTGAATCTCTGACCAGGACTCTATAGTCTTCATCAAATTTGGACAGTAACAGTTTTGTCTCTGACATAAAAATATTCTAGATAAATCTACTGCAAAAAAATCTAATTAAATAATAAACCCCATAACAAGCTCACTGTTGCTGCCTTCTCTAAATACTGTCTCTAGTGGGAGTAATCTCACTGCAGATATTTAAAAAGATCTCCCTGCAAAATTTACACAGAAGAGCCCATAAAATCTGTTCTGATGGAAGAGGGGAGACCAAAGAGAAAGAAAAGTGTTGCATGGTCTTTAGGCCATCCTAAACCCAGGTCTTCAGGTGGTGAAAATGAGCTGATTTCATGAGAAGGAATTAAGGTGAGAACAGGTATCCAAGGTATAGGAGGTCTGCTTCATTCCAGTGATGTCATATCACCTTGGGGCTAGACCTAAGACAGTCACAGATACTCTGGATTTATTTATTTATTTTTCAACCCAGAAGTACTGGGATCAGATTCTATCCTTAGAATTTATCACAATAGAACAATACAAATAACCACAGATACTTGTAATAATGTGCTTGTTAATTTTCAGAGAACTTATTAAACTATACTATGCTTTATTTTTTCTATCATCTCAGAGAGAAGGAAAAAATTTAACTAGAATTAGGATCCAAATCTATTACCCATTTTCCAGTGAGAAAGGTTATAGAGTTACAGAGCATCAAAAAACTGCTCAAGATCATGTTGCTAACTGTGGGGCTGAGTAGGACTGAGGGGCAGCATCTCTTGACACCCATCCAATGATGGGCTATGAAGAGCCAACGGTGAAGTTTTCAGAAATCTGTCACCTGCTGTTAAACACAGCTATTACTTAACATCACTCTATATAGACTAACAAATGAGATATATGAACAGCAGGGTAACATATACTCAAAGTCATCACTTCCTCATCTCCTGCTTCCATAAAGCTCAAAGCTTTGGAAACCTTAGGTAGTTGTACTCTATCCTTATGGATGCTATGAGCTGGAATCAACTTGACAGCAACAGGTTTAGTCCTCATGCTCCGGACAGGGGTGCGGGGGGAGGGGGTCACTATGTCTGGTGCAGCCGCATGATGGTAACAATGCAGTATCACGGGGTGCCACTGTGCGTTTCATTCAAGATCTTGTGTTCTGTGGTGTCACGTTGGCAGCTTGAAATTGGACATGATGGGAAATACTTTGAGCCAGGGTTTTTCACTGCCAGATAGCCTGTCATTAAACATGTATCAGCCTAGCAATGCTCTCAACTCTGGTACTTCTACCTGCTGATCCAACACCCATATAAAGACTTCCCCAAAATGAGAACAGGTCCTTATCCACATGGGCAGTTTCTGGGGCAAGTGGTAGAAGAGGTGAATTTTACTTACCGTAGCTTCACATTTTGCCCTGTGTAGGATTCATACGGCTTCTCCACGTGGGTGAATTCAAAGTCAAAGGCTTGTGATTGGGTGATCTCTCCTGGCCGGGCCAGGTCCTTCACCAAGGACACAAACTCATGGTGGTTCCCTCGGTCATAGTAGAGTTCTGGAGAGAGAGCATGTCACTGTACTCTATGAGGCCCTGAGCCACATGGGTCAGTGAGTGTGGGCTAAGTTGAAACCTTTCTTCTGAAAGACCTCCACCACCCCAGTGTCTTTTCAGTCCACTAAAGGTAGGGACCTCCCTTCAAAAACAGGTCCTTTCTAGCCTTGTTTTTTGACTCCCTCTCTTTTAACGAACGACCCCCAGTCTTTCACTGTTTTCTCCATATGCTTGTCTCCCCACCACCCTCCTTCTCACACACCGCTCTGTTTTATTCCATCATGAAAAACAGGGATATGGCGGGAACCTATAAGGAGGTTGGGTGATGAAAACAGTTTGTGCACAAGAAACAGTATCTACACAAGAAAGGCTTGGTGATCTGCTTCTGTAAAGACTGTTGTTGAGCGCCAGAGTCAGTTCAGACAGACTCATAGAGACCCTCTATTAAGGGTTCCCAAAGGCTTTAAATTTTTTGGGGAACCAAAAGTCTCATCTTTCTCTCTTGGGGCGGCTGATGGGCTTGAACCGCTGACGTTGTGGTTGACAGTCCAGTGCTTACTGTCTGGAGCTACCGCACTCCCATCTGTAAAGAGTACAGTCAGGAAAATACTCTGGAGCTGTTCTCTCTAACACACGGGGCTGTCATAAGTAGGGGGAACTTGTTGGCAGCTGGAGCTGTAGGATAAGCACTGGACCTCAAGGTGGGTTTGAACCACAAGGTCGGTGGCTCAGAAACCCTATACCAGGTTGCTGTGAGTTGGAACCAATTCGATGGCACTTAACAACAACAACAATGGGGAACCAATATCTAAAACATCACATTTCTTTAAAAAACAACAAAAAACCTTAATCTTGGAAAGGAACCTTGGTGGCACAGGGGCTGAAGTGCTCAGCAATCAATTCAAAGATTGGTGGTTTGAATTCACCAGTTTCCACGGGACAAAGATGGAGCAGCCTGTTTCTGGAGAAACATAGCCTTAGCAACCCGGTGGTGCAGTTCTACTCTGTTGTGTTGTTGTTAAGTGCCATCGAGTCCGTTACAATTCCTAACAATGCTGTATAGGGTTTCTGAGGAGCAGCTGGTGGGTTTGAACTCTGACCCTGTGGTTTGAAGTCCAGTGCTGATGCTACAGTGTCACATTAGAGTCCACTCTGTTGTACAGGGTGGCTAGTAGTTGGAATTGACTTACCAACAGTGCATTTTCTTTTTTTTTTTTTTGGGGGGGGTGCTTTTGAAAGCATAGTTAATTGTTTAATCCTATCAGTCTTAGGATATGAGGTATCTTATTGTTGTTGTTAAGTGTTATTGAGTCAGTTCCTACTCATGGCGATTCTATATAGGATTCCCGAGGAATGGCTGGTGGGTTTGAACCACTGACCTAGTGGTTAGCAGTCCAGTGCTTATCCTACAGGGCCACAGCAGGACTCCTAGACTTACCTGGAGGGCTTGTTATGACAGAGAGAGTGTTGGGTCTACCTACGCCCAGTGTTTTTGATTCAGTAGGTGGGGCCTGAGGATTTCCAGTTCTAACAGGTTCCCTAGGGATGCTGATCTGCTAGAGAACCATACTTTGAGAAGCATTAACTGCATCTTCTTCTGGAAATGGCTCTGGTATTTTTCTTTGCATTTAAAATTTTTAATTTTGTTTTTGAGAATAAACAGAGCAAAACATAACATATACCATTTCTACTTGTACAATTCAGTGATATTAATTACTTTTGCCAAGGAGGAATACTCCTTTTCTGAGTTGTTCCTTCCCCATTAATATAAACTCACTGTCCCCAAAGGTTCTATTGACTCTTTCAAGTTGCTGTTACCATTTTATTTTATATAGATAGTTCTTGAAAGAGCATAATGCTCAAGGTAGACTTAAAAAAAAAAAAAAAATTAAGCTAAACTACTGTTTGGATTTGAGAAGACTTCAGGGCTATTTTTGGTTTAAGTTTTAGATTATTTTAGGGCAATAGTTTCAGGAGTTCATCCAGCCCCCTTGGCTCCAGAAAGTCTGGAGTCCATGAGAATTTGAAATTCTGTTCTCCATTTCCCCCGCTTTGATCAAGAATATACTTTGATAGTATCTGTGATCAAAATGTTCAGTAATGGTAACTAGGCACTATTCAGTTCTTCTGGTCTCCTGGCAAAGAAGGCAGTTGTTCATGGAGGCAACTAACTACACATGAAGTATCCTCCTCCTATTCTTGACTCTTCTTCCTGTGTTGCTCCAGGTAAAGAGAAACCAACTGAATAGAGACCAATTGTTGTGCCTTGACTTTTAAGACTCCAGGTACTATGCAAGAAATAGGAAGTACAACAGACACACTAAGAATACTACTAAGTCAATTAACTGGGTTGTTTCATGAAACCGTAACTCTAAACCTCCAACCAAGACACCAAGTCCTGTGAGGTTTTTGGTTGTTATGTACAGCAGTTACTTTTCACTTTTGGTTTGGTTGATGTAAATATATTACACAACTTTGGCGAGTTCAGTGTTTTACATGTGTAAAACTTACTGACAGCAATTATAATACTTGGCTCTGCAGTCTTTCCTTTAAGCAATGTAAGGTTTCCAACACTGTTAACTCTTCGTCCCCTCTCCCTTATGTCCCTGGCAAACACGAATCAACTTTTGGTCTATTATTTGCCTTTTCTTGTCTTCTTCTAAGGCACCCTATGTGGGTGAGGCTGGAACCTTTCTTCTGAAAGACCTTTCCCAGTGCCTTTTCAGGTATGGGACCTCCCTTCAAGCCTTGTTTTTGGACTCCTCTTTTAAAGAAACCCCAGTCTTTTCACTGTTTTCTCCATATACTTGTCTGTAGGATAAGCACTGGACAGTTAACTACAGGGTTGGCAGTTCAAATCCACCAGCTGCTCTGCAGAGAAATTAAGACTTTTTGTTCCTGAAAACGTTTATAGCCTCAGAAACTCTAAACAAGGTCACTAGGAGTTGGAATTGACTTGATGGCACAGGGTTTCGTCTTTTTATATAAGTGAGGCCATACAGTATTTGTCCTCCAGTAACCGATGTATTTCATTCAGCATAATTTCTTTAAGCTCCATTCATGTTACAGCATAAAGACTTGTTCTATTGACTGAGTAGTATTGGTATTTTATTCTAAGTTCATACACCCATTTATCCTATATTATTTTATATGTTTGCATGCTGCTACTTAAATAGTATGTTTTACTTATACACAAGGTCTTTTTCACCTTGAGCTGGATGCCCCTTATAGATCACACCTCTATCCTGGTTTCCTGGCATCAATCCTAGCTAGTGCCTGGCTCTGCAGTAGTGGACACTTATTATTGATATGACTGCACATGCCCCTTACAATTCTTGCTAACGCATTCAGGTTTTTCTGGGTTAAAACTGTGCTGGGCTGCAACCTGCAGGAGGGAAGCTCAACTGGGAATGCAGTGAAGGCAAAGCAGCTGCTACTGGGGAAAGTGTTCAGGTCTACAGAGAGGAGTCTCCAAAACAACAGTTATTTGGCTGTTTCTTGCTGTCTCTGGGGCACAGGGTAGATCTCTCTCAGGAACACCTGAGCCTGAAGGGTGGTGGTTGTGTTGCAGAAGGTGGACTGGCTCTAGGGTCCACTCCTGACTGCATGAGGTCTGAGGCCCAAGGAGCAGCACATCCTTCTACATTGGGCCCAGGACATCAGACCTCTTGGTTCCCCAAAGCCAGTACCATGTCCCAAGGTGCACCTGCATGGTGGGTGGAACCACCCTCAGGAGACCAGGCCTTTGTTCATCCAGGAGCTAGCTGGTCCTGGCATACCTGTTCCCCAGATACAGTGGCACTCTGAGGCAGAATGGACTCCGCCAGTCATGTGGATAATCAAACTAGCAAATGCTGCTCCTGTGTGAATCTTTTTTTTTTTTCTTTCTTTCTTCTTTTTTTTGGCCTTTTCCCACAATACAGTTTTTAAAATTTTTAAGTTTTTATTGTGAATTGAGTGACCGTTTACATGGGAGAACATCGGTTTTATACTCATTGTTTCATTGCAATGGTTACAATCTCCTTCATGCATCATCATTCAACAGTATTTGCTTCTATTCCCTCTGTTTTGTTTGTGTTTTTTGGGGGGATGGACTCCATGGCTCATAAGCAACTCCTGTGTGAATTTAAAAATATTCTAAAAACACAGTCTGTGGCAGATTCTCTGATGTAGTCACACTTTGACTTACATTATATTACAAATGATTACTTCCTCTTACAAAAACTAAATGGTTTCAGAAGTAGCAGGCAACATTCTGGGTAGTGAAAACCAACAAAGCAGCTACGTGAGAGATGACAGTACCAAACCAGGGGAGCAGGTAGGGTAGGGGATGGCAAGTAACCCCTTGTAAGTTTTAAAATCCAGCAACTGTGTCCCCAGTAAAAATAAACACAAGTACGTATAGCCCTCGTGATGAGGACTCCTCCATGGATTTCTGCTGATCTGTCCCAGGTGAGCCAGGGCAGAAGGTACTGGCTGTCCATGGGAATGACTCCAGGGGATAGACGTAGGCAGAGCAATGGCCCAGAATTCATAAATGATAAGTGGGAAATCTCAGAGTCAAGAGAAAGAAGAAGTGGGTGCAAAAATAGGCAAATCTGTTCAAAGCCCAAGGAAATATGAGAAATAAACACAACGGAGAAGGATCAGAAAGTATTCAAAGAACACAAAGGCCATCTGTCTGCTCATAGAAACCTCTAGCAATAGCTAGGATCTGCTGCCGACCCTTGGGGGACCTGGCCTGTGGCAGGGAGGTCCTATCTGTATTGTGACAGCCTCCCCCACCCCCATGCACTTTCTCTTAGGTGTGTGTGTATATATATATATACAGGCTTCAAAAAAAATCTGTGGTCAAATGGAATGAAAAGATAGTGGAATTTTCCCACGAACTCTCCCCTCCCCATATTTGTATCACCTCCTCCATCAGACACATGGATGAGTGGTAAGCGTGTGGTTTATGTGGGCTTGATTTGGCCTTTTAAATTATAAGCCATTTGCAAACA